GAGGACAGTGGTGGTCTTCTAATAGCATCGGTGAGCATCAGTGGGCTGAAGTGAGTAGCTTCCTTCGGGTATTCGTTGACATCAGTGCACATCAGTAGGAAGTGCTAGGTGAATGAAGGTGAGTACCTGTGGCTACCTATCGGGAGTACAGGGCAATTATGGGCACTACTGTCCACTGGTACCCACCGGTGTTTACCAACACTCGTTCAGTCGTGCCCAGTCACATTCGTACACGGGTGCCCACTGATGCATATAGTTACTTACAGGTGTCCACTGCTACATAGTCTTATCCATGCATGAGTGAGGATTGCTCACGCTCAGTCTTGCTGATTCATGCCTCTTCATGATAGATCATACCTACCTACAGTACCACCATGTCTCGAACAAAATATTTTGTAGGTGACGTTGCATGCGACGAATTAACCCAGCATTCTCTCACCTGCACTCACCGATCCAGACCCTCCAATAGGGTTCTTACTCTTGAACATCGATACCTTCTACATGAACAATTTTCGACAAAAGATCTGCCGATAAAGTTTCATTTCGACCAAATAGTTGTCGACAAAGCATTCTGCCGACGAAATATTGTCGATAAAAGTTTGTCGACGAATGATATTAATACCTTTTCTAACTTTTGTATGTGCAAATAAATGAAACTGGAGAAATGAACATGATAAAGGAATACTTCATTTCAGCCTCGACGCATTTATTCCAATTCCGATCCTGTAATTTCAATCTTGACTTCGATCTTGACCCCGTAGTGGCGACTTCAACCCCGACTCCGACCCGGAAAATTTCCACATCGGGGCGCTGACCATGGCAGTCTCTGCCAAGTAGGAAGCTGCGGGTCCACAAAAACGTGTAACCGGGCTCAACAAAAAATAAAAGGTTGGACCTGGACTCGACCCGGATCCGAAAAAAATAAAATTCTGGATCTGAATCCGACCCGGACCCAACAAAAGAAATAAACCTTTGGACCCAGACCCGAACCCGAACCCGGCTGGGTTGAGTCCGAGCCTGAAAGGAACTACAGCTCCCTACTGCCAAGCATATGAAAAAATTGTCGTTTTTCGATATCTTGTGCATAATCTATTTCATGAGCGAATTAGCTGAAGGAGTTGAAGTTTTGACCACGAAGAGAACTGGGAGCTACAAAGTCATGTGAGAATTGACTTAGGACGTGGTAAAATGAGTTAGGATGCCTTATCTGAACAAGAACCCACAATGAGCCTTTTCCGTATATAATATGCTCGAATTCGTTGAGATATTAATAAAAAAGTTCTATTATATGAAATAAGTTTCTATCCAATAGAAATCAACACATGATCACTATTGTCGGATATATATAACATTCATGAAAATGACAAAAAATTTTGACTCTCATTTCTGCGGGAGAATACCAGGATTTCACAACAATTCTGTCTAAAGACATTAAATATTGTTTTGGGTTATATAAAGATATGTACCATACTTTCAACTGACGACACTGAATTTAAAGATAGGTTTTAGCGAGAACAGAAGCAGCAGTATTATGAAGTAATACCCACACAATATACTTTACTGGATATAAAACTAAAGTTCTCTATTTTACTTTATTTGTTAAAGTAAAAATAAGATGCTACCCCTAACAATATCGTTGGTCGTCAATACACCAGTTATCTTAGTCACTCCAAAAACGTATATCTAGCGCTCATTCCTTCACTCGTACCTGCAGTGATTAGACGTGTTTTGCTCTTGCCACTTCTTTGTTCCTTTTGTTATTTTCGTTGTTTGTTTTCACAAGAATCTAGGATGTGGGTGTCAGCGTGGATGTGATTGTGGGTGGGTTTGGGGTGGCTGGGTGCGGGCATGGACATGGGCGTGGGTGTCGATGTGGGCGTGAGCATGGGTGTGAATGTGGGTGTGAATGTGAGTGTGGGTGCGGATGTGGATGGCCTATTCTTTGATAGTATCCACACCTCAGGGCAAGGTTGAGATCCTTAACAACACTGAAACAAATCCAGAATATGGAAATGTAGTAAGAAACATGTACTGGTATCAGAAAAAAAGTTATTAAAGAACGAAATAGAACGCAAGAGACATATATCACATATATTTTCATCGCTAATTTTCACGATCTACGACTCTAGCCTTGATTTTACGAGCGAATGAAAGTATGATAAAAGAAATGTATGTTGACTTACCAGTGCACTTTTTTAATATTATGTGTGCGAAAAACACAATTGACTAGTGATTAGATGTCGATGAAACGAGTTTTTTCGTGTTCTCTCCTACTTCAACTCATTACAAGTGGTTGCAGAGACAGAAGAATGAAAACGGATAATCATTATTTTATCAAAGAAAAGCTAACAAATGCCTACACGTTGGGTTTTTTCTTTCTTTCAATCGAAGTAAAGCATTAAGTTGTGTAACTCGTAAAACGTCAGCTGTTTGTGAAATAACAACGAAACTTAAAATTTGATAAAAAGTTGGAAGAATCCTTCGTCATAATTATATTCACTGAATCATTAACAAATATGGTGAAAGAATCACTCATGCTTCAATGTCGGGGTGTGGATGTGTGGGGTGTGGGTGTGGATGTGAGTGTTGGTGGGGGTGGGGATGGGGGTGTGGGTGTAGCTGTGGGTGTGAGTGTAGGTGTAGGTGTGGATGTGAGTGTAGGTGTGGGTGTAGCTGTGGGTGTGGGTGTGGGTGTGGGTGTGGGTGTAGGTGTGGGTGTGGGTGTAGGTGTAGGTGTGAGTGTGGGTGTAGGTGTGGGTGTGAGTGTGAGTGTAGGTGTGGGTGTGGATGTGGGTGTGGGTGTGGGTGTAGCTCTTCAACTCACCCCCCTCCCCACTCCACAATCACATCCACCCACACCCCACACCCACCCGCACCCAAACCCACACCCATGTTGCATTGTTAGATCATCTGCTTAGAAATAAATTACTGTCTAAAAATCAATTCGGCTTTTGGTCAAGTACATCTACCACGGATATATACTACTTTATGTCACTAACAGATTATTCTTAAATGTATCAAATAATAAAATTAGTGTTAATATTAGTTTTCACTTGTCCAAGGCTTTCGATCGTGTTCCTCATTTTGTTCTACTTAACAAATTAAAATCGGTTGGTCTGAAGGCAAAACTCCTAGAATGGTTTCAATCCTACTTAACTGATCGTTTACAACATGTGTAAGATCGATTATGTTCTTTCAAGTTTGTCTTATACTTATTCTGGGGTCTCACATGGGTCTATATTAGATCCATTATGATTCATTATTTTCATAAATGATCTTTCCGATGCTATATCTTCATACAAAACTCTGTTCAAGCAGAGATTGATCGTGTTATTGGCTGGTGTAACAACAATTTCATGTCATTAAATCCAAATAAATGTTTATGGACTTGTTTTTCTCTATCATTTGATCTTCCTACTTCACTTACATTTAATGTTGATGGTGAACTACTAAAACATGAAAATACTTCAAAACTTCTGGATATTTATTTATCACACAACTTGAGCTGGAAGCTACACATTGAACGAACAGCGTTATCCTGTAGGCGTATACTAGAAGCAATAAACAGAACATTCTCGAAAGCGTCGGTTGCTATTTGACTTGTGTTCTTGCTAAACTTGATTATGGATGTTCGGTCTTTGATACTCAATTTATAACTCACACGAAACTACTAGACTCAGTTCTGAACCTTGCTTCACGAATTATTACTCGTCAGTTCGATTACATGGTTAGCAGTGATAACCTTGTTAGAGAGTTAAGTCTTCCTAATCTGAAAAATCATCAACTATACTTTCGGTTAGTGAATTTCTATCGTATCTACCATCGATTGTGTATCCTCAATCCTGATGAACTTATTTTTCCATCTATTTCGTGAAGATCTGGTAGACTACATGCTAATTTAAACCCTTTTCGTGTAACAGTTCCTTTCACTACTCTAATCGATGTTAAATATTCATATTTCTTTTCAACAGTCTCTGACTGGAACAACTTATATCCTCTTTTGTTGCTTCTGCTTCTAATATCGAAAACTTTAAACATAATCTTAAAGAGCACTTAAACTCAATGTGATTCTATATGATATTACTATTGTTTTTCATTTTTATATGTATCATGTGTACGCTTGACATTTTCTTGTTATATAAGTCCATGCTTTCTTGACATACTCCTTTTGATCTGTCGTTGTAACATCTTGACAGATATTGTTTTCTTTTCTTATTACAGATCAATAAAAAGAAAGAAAGAAAGAAAGAATTATGCCGGTGCCGAGTAAACTTTATCATACACTTGAAAAGAGTTGTGTTTGCCCAAGTAAGCAAAACAGAATGAATAATATTTTGTTGGTTGATTAGTAGGTTCTCACGTATGTACTTAGTCGAGCTGAATAATACATCACTTCTGTAATCATTCATTTGCAAAGAACCAGAGTAAATACCTCGTATCGATTATTCTTTTCTCTATAAATTATCAACTACAGAAAAAAAAGTCCATATCATACAAGTTGTATTTACGACTTTCATTGAATCTTTCTGCCATGGCTCGAACTTATTCTGCAACGATCATTTGGTTTTTGATCAGTTATCTGGCAACTTTTTGCCAGTATTCTCAATGTAATTGGATTATCAGTCAAGCAGATCAGAAAACTGAATGGCAAGCTATAAATCAACGATATTTAGACCAAATTAGAAGCAAAGGTAGGCATCATCTCTTTTGTCTTGTAGTGATTGATGAAAATGGATGATTGAGAATTACTTTTTTCTGCATTGATTATAGTGCAAGCGGTGTTTGTAGAGAAGAGGAATGCACCATTCAACTCACTTCTTGGTACTGCCTCCATCAATGTACCAGCCTACTCGAATGGTGATGATTCATTCTTTTCTGGCAAAAGCAACTGTCTTTATGGTGTCTACATGGGAGTGAAATGGCAATGCGTTGAATACGCTCGTCGATAGCTTTTCATCCGAAAAGGTTGTGTATTTAGAGGGGTTGACTCAGCAAACAATATGTGGTATGAATTAGATTATGTTGAACGAGTCGTCGATGAAAAACATTTTTCACTGAAGACTTATCCAAATGGATCTCCGACAATACCAAAAAAAGAATCATTCATTATCTATGAACGAAATTCAAAGTTACCCTTTGGACATGTAGCTGTTATTGTTGATGTAGTACCAGGTTATATTAATGTTGCTGAACAAAACTATTATTATTACTATTGGTCCAATAATTATGCTCGACAGATTCCATTGACATACAAGAATGGTCGTTATTATATCGAAGATTACTATCGTATATATGGATGGATGGAAGTTCAAGATAATAATCAATTAAAACCACTTGATGCAGCAACTATTAAGATAATTTCTACACGAAACAGAGTTTCCGATTGAAGATAATCGTTTCCATGCAAGCAACGAAGATTCAAAGACTGTGACATCATCTTCTAAAAATCAAAATATCTCTTGCAGTTCTGCGAGAAAAATTCTGTTTATTCTACTGCTTAATTCACATCAATAAAATGAAATAAACATGTCCAATAATCACACTCATCCTCTTCATATACCCTTATAGTGGTTCACCTAGGGGAGGGAAGTTACCGTTACGTTGCCAAGTAACTAGTAACTCCAAAGTTACTAGTTACCAAGTAACGGTAACGCTTTATGGACCCTTAGCTGGCGACGTAATATTCGAATACCTTAAGATGTTCGAATATTACGTCACCAGGTAAGGGTCTATAAAGCGTTACCGTTACTTGGTAACTAGTAACTTTGGAGTTACTAGTTACCGGGTAACGTAACTAGGTAGTAACGGTAACTTCCCTCCCCTAGGTTCACCTTGTTCTTTTTTCTCGGCTAAATTGTGTATAATTATCACATATACTGCTTGATAATGATACACTAATGTTTTGACACGTCATTCTTTACGCGATTCAACTTGTGATAGTCTTTTTTCTTCTCTATAAAAAGAGTTCTTCGCTCTTATTCTTTCATACACAAAATAAAAAATTAATATGCTTTGGACCAAGAAGCAGCCTGACTCGGTAGGAACGTCCAACGATCTAGTTCCTCGCAAGGAAATTCATATCAACGCTCGTCTTCATTCATTTACTGCTGATGTAACGCTCACATAGGTCTTTCAAAACGACGAATCTGTGCCGATCAAAGCGGTGTGGGTGTGGGGGTTGATATTCTGTACATCCACACCCAATTAAAAATTGTATACTTTGAACGTAACCGTATAGTTTGGTATTTATGGAAGAATACTCATGGGTAATTCACCGTCATCATAGAATGGTGGATCTCGATTAAAATCTGTGAATGATGATGAATTTTTCAAAAATTCGACTCGTTTCGATATTTTTATTCGACTGACATAGTAAGTTCATTCTCTTGAAATGTTTCCACATGCTTGGAAATAAGTAAAGAATAGCATTTATTACTAAACGCAAGAAATAAGATACAAAAATTATTTTAGAGGATCTTTACAGAATTATTTATTTGCTTTATTCTCTCATATTAAAGTATGATAACATATTTGAATTAAAGGAGTTGAGGAAAATTCCTTATGCTCAAATCTATTTGAAACCATAATCATTTATATGAATTCTTATTTACAAGAAGATACTGTAATCTTTACCAACATGTTTAAAAAGAAAACAAAAATATAAAAGAAAAACGTGATAGTTGAAAAAAAAACATCAATGAATCATCTTTATTTGTTCTTGAAAACTTCCAACATGGATATATATGAAAGGAAAGAAAAAGAAAAAATGCAAGGTTTTTTCGACAAGAATGATGGTGATATATAAATAATATGTTTTATTCGCACGTGTTGGAAATAAATACTCCTATTACTCAACATTTGTTACGCGTATGTGAAAATTTGTTAATTGCATTCAGACAAGAAATGTATGTAGTTTGTTGAATATTTTCGTAATAATTTTTGAATATCTATAACTATAGAAAAATAAACAAAACAGATATTTTGCTGTGTTGAAACATTCCCATAATGATCGACTATATTGGTGAGTCAATAACAACGGCAAAAACATTTTATTTTGCTTCAGGTCAAACTCTGACTCTTGACGAAGATCAAATTGAAAAAATCCCATATTTAGCTGCTCTTGTTTCTTCTGCGAATTGTTTTGAATCGACATGTGACGAGTATGGTCATTATAAACTCGATTCACGCATTGAATATAAACATTTTTCTTTCATTCTTGAGTCACTTTCATTCCATTCAATTCGACAACTATTCACTCATCTACCTAAACAAAATCATGTTATACCTATTATTGCTCTTCTCGATTTTATTGGTATTGGACCACAACCAGATCCAACTTTACAGGAAGTTGATTCAATTTTCTTTTCAACTTTAGTATATAGCCCTATGTTAGAAAACTATATACAGATAATTAGACCATCCATTATTCAAGACACGGCTGTTCGATTTGCTATTGCAATAGCTAAAGAGGAATATGATTTTACCAATGACAAAGTGATTGATCAAATATATTGGTTTGTTATGTTTATTTTAAGTGCTTACGAATTATTTGGACCCCGGCTTCGGTATCATATATTTAGAATTGCTGAACATTGCTTTTCCGTTTTCAAACCTTTGCTATTAGAATCGCTCAAGAAACTTGTACTTAGAACAAAGAGAGAGGCAAGAAACTTTCCTTCAACTACAAATCAATATGACGTTGATCCTGATGAAGATAACAAACATTCTTTGGAGGAAATGTTCTATGAAACTCCCAGAAAGTGGCCTCGCTTATTCTATCGAAATTTAAAAGACCGGCAAGAATTAATTCGTAATCGAATATATAAAAACCACAATCGGTGGTGGTATTGGAGAGTACCTGGACAGACAGAAATTATGGAACCAATACATCGACGTGTAGTAGAAATCATGTATGAGAATTTACAAAGCGAAATATGTCGACGCGGAGGAATAGAAATACATAGAAGAAAAAGTTTACATACCAACGTAGAGGAAAATTTCAATTTAGAATATAGTTTTGATCGATTTTTCCGTAAAAACTTACCAAACGAAATATGTGACATATGGAAACATGAATTGGTACAAAAGGAAATACGTGAACGTATATTAGAAGAAATATCTGTATTAACACCGAAATTAGAACAAAAACGTAGTGAATTAGTAACAAAAATACGAGAATATGAACAAAGTCACGATATATTGCATGAATCCGAATACAATCTATTTAATTTTCATCTAGTCTATCATAATCTATTCTATCGTTCATCTTTTGAAAAGCTACAAGAAGAAGCTTTATCTTATGAGCTCATACTCGATAAATTACGTCAAGGTTCAATCATAGAAGAAGAAATACATCGATGTGTACTCGAGTCATTGGATTTAGCCGCATTAAAGCAGTTCGTAGAGTGGAAGAGTACGCAACAAGATATATCCAAACTGCATGATGAATTATCCTCATACTTGCCACTAAGAACATTTCTTTCTGTTGTGTTAAATAATACCATCTATCCAAACTATCAAGTTCCTGTAAATAAACCTAAACCATTACCAAAATTTCAACCTAAATATTCAATGCATCAATTAAAAGTATTTCGGTCATAATTACGTATATTTAACAAGTTTTAAAAGATATGAAGTTGATCGTTGAATTTGTCTAGTTCTTTTCTTTCTAATATAACATCTTTCGGATATTTTTCTTTCTAAAGGAATAAAACTATTCAATGAAGTACCAACTGTTGTGATTGATTTCAGAATATCAATACAATTCAGTTTTAATTATCTGAATCCTGTTTTGCATCAAACATCAATCATTTTCTACGAACAACGATACTCAGTTTTAGATGTGGGACGACTGTCTTGGTGTGGACACTTACACTCACACCTCCACCACTACTTTTGGATAACCCTGAGTAATTCCAAAGAAGTTTTTATTAATAAAATAAAAAGAAAATGAAAATTCGATAAAAACAATAGCGAAAAGAAAAATAACTCATTCTTTATTATAAAACAACAAAAATAAAACTAGTTTTCATTATTAATTTTTGAGATTAAGCTTAATTTATTTCTAAACAAGATGCAAAGAAAAATTCACTTTTAATATGATAGAAAATGACAATATGTTTTGATGAATTTTGTTTAAGGAGCAAAAATTCGAATTCATTCATAGAGAAGTATGTTCACATCAAATTCACTTGCTATTCAATCTCTTTTCCTTAATAAGGTTGACGTTCGAAAAATAAAAAACTTCTCAAAAACTTTTGTGAAACACCATTTAAGAGAAGTGTTGAAGTAGATATGGTAGAAACTTCAGCCCACTCTTCCCTCAGTCCGTGACAGACATTTGAATTAATATCTCATTAATAACTAATTGATTGCTAATTAATGACTCCTTCATAAATAATATTAAGTAATTGGCGACAGAAGCGTTGAAGAATATAGTGAGAAAAACGAATCATACCTTTACTGCCCATGGATCGTGATAGCCATCCTAGAACCCTACCATCAACTATGCAATACGTTGTTGATATACGATCGAAGACCGTACATCAATAATGTCTTATTATGATATATGAAATACAGTCAATGTCCCTAATAACAATACTAAAAAAATTTTCTTCCGTATTCGACTCGGTTCTCAGCTATTTTACACCCGACTGAAAATATTTTTATATATGCATAATCTATGGAGTCTCCTCTTTCAAATGGTGTAACAGCGGTCTTTCTCTGAAATGTAATAGCGGGAGAAATCCGCGGCCTACGATAACGAACTGCTACTGTTGTTATTAGGGACAGTTTCCCTAATAACAACACTTAAGCAAAATTTAAGCCAAATCAGACTTTTTAAGAGAGAAAACTTTTTTTCACGCGTTTTCTTTGGAAAACAAGCAAAGACTCCGCCGACAAGGGTGTGGGTGTAGAGCAGACAAGACTCACACCGACATGCATACCCACCCACACCCACACTCACCCGCTAATATACTACCACAAATTGTTATACAATTCAAGTAGTAGGTTCGCATGAATGAGTGTTAAAAGAAATGTACATTTATCATACACATTGAAACTTCGAACTTTTATTATAATGGCAAATGATTGTGACTTACATAATAGTTCTTCAGAATAAATAATTCATTAAGAATATCTTTTTTGCTTCTCTTGGTTATTGATCTAATAGGAAGAAAAGATCAATCTATAGATAACCTTGATGTTAAAATTTCATCTTGAGGATGAGCGGAGCAACCATGATGTTAACATTTCACTTGAGCAACCAAGATCTTCATATGATCTTGTTTCAATTTAAAGAAAATCAAAACAAAGTTAATTCTATACTGTGACTGCAATAGTAATGATAGAATCAACTCTTTGTTTAAGTCAGTACATACTTTTCGTTGGTGCTCGGTATTAATCTCATCTTAAATTTGATTTTATTTATTATCTATTTTATTTCTTTTAGAGATGGCGAAATAATAATGTTTAATACAAATGACAATTTAAAAGGAAAAAAAATGTTTTCCTGGACATCGAGCTGCTATTCTTTCAATGTGCGTTAATGATAACAATGATTTAGTGGTAATGTAATAAATTCTTGTTTTATTTAAAAAAAAACTTCGATACATTTAGGCGACATCGTCATTTGATGGTTTTGTACGGATTTATAGTTTAAATCAACAAACATTAATAAAAGAACTAAATGTGATTGAAAATCTCATATACGAGATTTCAGAATATTTCGTACAGGAATAGATGGACATTCTCATTCGGATCGTAATCGATATCGTTTTGATTGATCTGGGTTCACAAATTTATCAAGCTTAAAAGAGTCATTAAAGAAAAAACTAGGACATATCTTTCATTTCACTCATGAACATCAAAGTTGTGATAATGCCTCACTAATGATTATCCTTCCTGAAGATCGTATTATTGGTGGACCAAATGCAACAGAACATGTTGATGATAGTATACCTTATGTTGCAAAAACACCAATTTTTACTCATCACGATGATAATGATAAAAAAAAACTTTTCTTTTCTTTTATGATCATTTTATTTTAAGAAATGAACTCTTTCAAAATCGATCAATTCGATGGATCATTCAAAAACTGCTATTCATATCATATCCGATCAAAATAATAACACATTTGAAATAGGACATTTGTTGTTTACTACATGTTATAATGTAGGTGCATATTAGTAAAATGACATTTTATTTTTTAATTTTAAAAAATCGATGATTTTTATTTTAGATTTTGAAATTATTATTCGTTTATTAGAACAAATCAAATTTAATTCAGAGTACTTTCATTATCATACGATGATACTTTTCTAGATTAGATTCAATTTTCTTGATCAACTTCTTCTTTTTTTCTTTCTAATTCTCCGTTCGTTTTCTTCGAATATGAAAGACAAATTCTTCTAAACATCCATTTTATTTTTTATGTCTCTGAATTCAATCCTATACTTCGTGAGATTTCCGATTAAATTATTAGTTTCGTTCTTTTCTCCATATATCGCAGATAAGACAGGCAACTTTATTTCATCAAAAAATAATTTACCTCTAACAGAATCTTGAGAGTGAGGGTCTCTCACCCTCACGACTAATTTCTAGTTGAGATCCAAAAATATTTTCTTTAATATCGTTCAAACTCAATGTTCCAAAATAGTAATCCATCCAGTAATAAATATGAGGAATTGAACAACAACCATTTTTAGAACGAATAAAATAGTAAGAACATTTTAAGTAGTTGATTGATATTGAGAAACTCTAACACTTTATGACGCAAATCAATTACTTTGTAATTCAGAAAAAATGACTTCCAAAATAGTTCAGTTTGTATTATTTTTATCAATACTTTCGGTAGTGTTCTAACAGGATGTTAATCGGAGGAGAATTATTTTAAGAAAAAACTAAAAAATTCTTATTTTTTTAAAACCAATTATATATATTTTTAAAAGGTTTTAACAATTAAAACATGTGGTTCAAAATATAGTTCATTCAAATTTTCGCTCAAAAAAAAATAATTGTACACTTAATTTTTGTGTGATATCACGGACGAATGAATTGCTGATATAAGCTGAAGTAACTATTCATTTGTTTTAATGATTAAAGAACTGCATTTCTTCTATTTTAAGGGCATGGAACCAAATTTCAGTTGTCTAGCTTCTATTGATGTTGATATAAATATAAATAGTGATGATGATAAACCATTGAGGTGAAAAAGTTTTTCTTTCATAAAAATGATCGCTGTTATTTTTTATAGCTTCAAAAATTTATCAGGCTTGAAAACATCCAGAGATGGGCAGCTTCAACTCCGGAGCGAGAAAATTTCAGACAGATATTACTGACTGCGCCTTTCCCTCTTCCATTTGGATCTTTTACAACGGAAACTGAGTGTCATTAATGAATACAAAAAGTGATCTGTGAAGAAGCTACCCTCAATCAAAGTTTTCTAATGAAATAATGACTTTTTATTTCTGTTGGAGCGGAAGGTACTCTGGTTAGAGTGGAGTCGGGGCAGAGTGGCCAGAAAATGTTTGGAACTGGAGCTGCCCATCTCTGAAAACATCATTCAAGAACAAACTAGAACGTGTGTTTCGTTTTTATCGTGTACAACAATTCCTAGAAAAAAAAAAACAAATTCTAACAAAGATAAATGATGATATTTCGATACATTATTAATCAATAGATTTGCAAGTTAATGCTTTAAATGAAAATTTTTTATTGCCTAACGAAAAAACTTCAACACAATGATGAGTTGAAGCTATAGATGTGAATGATAAACTTTTTTCACTATTATGTTCACACACTCCAGAATACAAATGAATTTGAAATGATTGATACACAGCAAGAAAAATATACCTACTTGAATATGAAAATACATGAACAAAGTTTAGTTATATCTATTAATGATCTATATTAAAGGTTGATGATTATCAAAAAATTAATTCTTCGTTTATTCATTTGTTTCTTCATAACTTATTATATGTTTTTCTTTTGTTGGATATTTCTTATCATTAAATAATTGTCTTGATGATGAAAATTATCATTAACAATTCGTTTTTCATCACTAATTTCATTTCTATTTTTAAAACTAAGAAAATATTTCCTTGAATTTGTTTTCATTGATCGAAGATGTGGATGTGAGTGAAGGTTTGAGGGTGAGTGTGGGTATGAAAGAATGACACGCTCACCCACACCCACACCCTATTCATGTCATTCGATTTCTTATTAATAGGCATTCCAATTACCTCACATTACATTTTAAAATGAAGTCAAATCAAAATATGATCTAACATTATCTTCGCGTTCTTTATTGCTGCATAGTATAAATGAAAAAAAATGAAATATTTTCTTTTATTGAAACAACTTTATAATAAAGGAAAATATTGATGAAAATTTTTTGGACGAACAAATGACTGACCTACATCAAGGCTTTTTAATTTATCAAAATTAAAATATGTTGGATCATTAGTAAAATTATTTGTTATTAACATGAGTAACTCATATTCTATGGAAAGATTTGATAAACGAGGTAAATGCATACTTTTTTTCAAAAGAAATCGTGCAACATAATTCACATGTGCATATTTAACATCAAGAAATTTAAGATGTGGAAATGTGATTAATGTTAATTGCCTTCTTGTGGCCAACAATTACAAACATGTAAGATTTCAAGAAAAGGAAAATCTTGAGAGATAAGTTGAAATAGTCTGTCTTCAAAAGGAATTCTCTCGACCATTGTTAATTGTTGAACTTTGTGAAATGCACCACCTTGAAATGAATTGTCGAACTTTGTGAAATGCACCACCTTGAAATGAATTGTCGACTTTAAAATATTCGAAATCATATGGAAGTGAATAGATATAACATGCACCATCGAGTGCAAATGGATTTGAATTAACATATGAAGCTACTAGTGGATATCCTCTTCCAATAAAACTATGTTGAATTTCTTCGTTTGATTGAAGTTCAAATTTAATATCATCCATAAAGGAGATCTCTGTCTTGATATAAAATGTAAAATTCTTTAATTGTGTCATATAAATAAGAAATTGATCGTATAATTGAATCCCATCAATATAATTCGAATAAGATCTATCTACTGATAAATATAATTTTAGTTCTTCAAGATTTATCATTCGACGAAGTAATGGAACAATTAAATCATCATAATCTTCTACGCGATTCAATGCAGTTAACGAAAAATATTTCAATTTTGGAATTTTCTCCAAACAACATAAAAATAATTGTTTATTTTCAATGTTTTTTTGTATAAATATGATTATTATTGTAAATACTTACTGTTGGATTCTTGTATTCTGTCGTATGAAAAGTAAATGTTACAGTAATAATTAATGTTGATAAACAAACAAAAGGTCCATCAAGCAAATGGAGACAATCAGCTAAAGTTGAGAGTTGAATTCTTAATTTAATCAAAGTTGAAGGTATACAATGATTCCATGAGAAATCAGTCAGAGAAACCACAAAATTTCGTTCAGAAAACATATCACAAAAATTCAAAACAGTTAAATTTTTACATAAAGATAAGATTTTTGGAAAAATTTCTGGACCAATTTTGAATCTATTTTCTGTTGTGTTTTTGATATCAATATTAAGATGTGTTATTTGATTTGTTAGAAGATCACGTAGAATTAAATTATCTTTAATTACGAAAAATAACACAAATATTATTTTAATTCTAGTGAATAAAATTAAATTCTATACCTGTTAAATATTGATGAAGTATTTCTTTCTGAAAATTGATAAGTGATAATGAATATAGCTTTAAATAATTCGAAGCAAGGAACATGTATTTGGCTGAATATTCGTTGACGGTAAGTTTATATGTTTGATCATAAATTCGAGGTAATATTTTCTCACAAATTCTTGAAAGAACTTTTGGATCTGTTGAAGACGTCTGATCGTACAATGAATTAATGTCATTAATAGTAGTCATATTAAGATCACGAAGAAAAAAAGAATCAAGCACTAATCGATTAAATCGTCGATTAACCTTAATACATGAATAAAATACATCAATCATATTCAATTTTTGAAAAATAATAAATAAAATTTCATTAGGTAAATCAAGTATATTCATACGATTCTTATTTAAATTGTTCATGTTTGACTCAGACAAATTGATCGCAATTCTATATATATGTTCGCATTTTCTCATTTTCGTCTAAACGAATAGTAGCGAATGAATATCGACGCCGTCATTGTGGGTATGTTATGGAAGGTAAGGGGTCAAACCGACGAGACGAATTGAAACTGAATTAACCGATGTGATTGGTGTTTCCACATAACAACGCGTATCTGATTGCTTAATTCAGTTTTAATTCATCTAGTGTGTTTGACCCCTAACAAACAGACAAGATCAACTCAATGTGAACTAACCAATAGAATTCGCGTTACTGGATAGAAATTTAATTTATATTTCTTATTTCAATCTGAATTGACTCAATTTGTTTGACTATTGAATAGAAGGGTGGGTGTGGATGTGATTCTTCAAGTTAACTTCACCCACACCCTACGATAAATGCGAATAATATTTCGATTATCACAGGTACGAATAAACTTTTCCTATTCACTTTTGATTTGTTTTGCAATGTCAGTAATAAAGAATGAAAGAGTAAATAACATATCAAAATCTTCTACACGTAATGTTTTATTCACCATTCGATAAAAACATGATTCACGTGTATACCACCATATTGTGTTTTCCGATTTATAATGTTTTTCAAATTCATCAATAATTTTCATCTCTTATTGATTACCGTTATAACTATTCTTACAAATGTCTAACATTCCCTTGCAATCATTCGATTTATGATGCGTATACGAAGAAGAATTTCAATAAAAAACTGAAATAGCACAAAAATAACATGACGAGCTTGAAAAGATTGAGAACCGGAAGTTGTTACCGATATTGAAGCACCATCTTCTACTTCACTTCGACTATTTTAATATTTAGATATTTAAGCAACAAGTTTAGTATGTTCAACAAAAACACCATTGACCTGAAATATTTACCTATAAAAAATAAAGAAACTGATTCTTATAAAATATTTAACCTTATGATATTTATTAGTCCATTGTTCATTTGCTTTCTGATCTTAATAAAAGATTAACATGCAAAAAATTGTGAAAGATCATGAAGTTGAGGTACAATTTGTCGATCTAATGAACCAGATACAATAAGAACAACTTTTTCTTTTGTAATTTGTCCAATGTTTTGTTTACATTCGTCACTTGGATGGGTGTGAATATAGAAAAAGAGAAGACCCACACCCACCCTGAATCATGCCTTGATGCATCTATTTTCTGTTTGATGGTTACATAAGTAACGTCATTAGTTGTCTCATTGTACACTGAAAAATCCTAAATGACGTCCATGCATATCCTGTAGAAACTTTATAAAGATTAGTTGAAGTTTTATTCTTATATCCTAATATATTAGTTGATTATATACTTCTATTTGATCTTTAAAGTATATTTATATCAAGTTCGTCACAATAATACTGTGTTTCATGATTATGGTGAGTATAACTTGTGAAAAGTTCGAAATAAATAGATGATTTTCGTTAAGAATAAAAAAAATGATTTTTATAACAGATTTTAACAAAATACCACCATATATATCTATCTAACTGTTCTTCAATCTCATTATATGTCATCTGTTTTAGAATACAAGAGATGCTTTTCATTGGCATAAAGCACGTTTCCAACATTGAACAAAACTATACATCGTATGTTCTGGTAATTTGTAGAATTAATGAGAATGATGGCAAAAAGTCAATGAGAGAATCCGAAGAGAAATTTTTTATTTCATAAATGTACCATACATGAAATTTTGACTGATACATGAATCTCAATGTTTTTGTGGAGGTTATTAGATAATGAAATTGTTATGTTTTTCAGTAGAGTAGAAATTTCTGAATTCGATGATTAATACAGTCTGCCACGTACAAATTCAGTTGTGAATCAAGTGCTAGAGCATACGGATAATTAAAGTGAAAGGAGTCAGTGCCAAAAATTCCAGTAACACCAGCGATTGTTGTACCATTCAATGAACCAGCTAGAAAAAATTGAATTCGATGATTATATGCATCAGCCACGTAAACATTCCCCATGGAGTCGACTGTAATACCGATTGGACGATAGAGCAATGTTGATGAAGTACCATTGATACCACTGCTACTACCTGCAATTATTGTCCAACTACTGGCACCTAATACCCAACGAACAACATTATTGGAATTATAATTGACGATGAATAAACTATTCGACGATAAGTCCAAATAAATACCGATAGGATAGTTTAATTGTGTATTACTTGTTCCTGGTCCATTACCACCAGCAACTACAGTACCGGATGATGCATTTACAATATAACTCATAACGCGATGATTCCAAGAATCGGATATGTACAGTGTGCCAGAATTCGGATCGCGTGCTAGATCAAATGGAAAATTTAGTTGATTATTCGATGAACCATTAACACCTGTTAACAGAAATATAAACACTATACATCTCGTATGAAAGACTCTCGTGTATTATATAACAGAGATGGGATCGGTTTGGTTCGTAACTTTTTCAGTCAATCTCAGTTTTCATTCAGTTAGCTTCTTGCTTAAATTGATATAGCTTAACTCAATGTATAGACATGTAAAACAAGAAACTTGAACGATGAAAGATATCTTTAGTGGGTGTCCATGTGAATTTGAATGGAATAAGTATCCATATTCACATTCACATTCATATCAACACCTGCATCCACATCCATACCCTTATACATATAGACTCGGTAAACCTAATTCTGCTGCAAAAATTTTTGACTCTGCAGTGGTTGATTTAGAACTCAACTAGTTATCATCGCACGGAACTAATCATTAGTCTCCTGAAAAGAGTGAACATGTCTGCATCGATTCATATATATTTGATCATACAAAAAGCAGCTTCTGTTTCATGCGGACCATAACAATACTAGTAGGGTCGAGATTTTTTCAATTTTTTAGGTGTTGCTAATTGCGTCGTTGAGGATATTTTTTGCTTCTAATTCTTCCATTCCTATGTCAAATAGAATGTTTTCAATATAGAACAAGATTTTATGAATAATTCGTTTTTTCCATAATCTTGTTCATAAAATTTTGTTCGATGTCGAAAACATTCTATTTGACGTAGGAATAAAAGAGATAGATAGAAGCAAAAACATACCCCTAACGGCACAATTATCAATATGTGAAAAATTGAAAAAATTTCGACCCTACTAGTGTTGTTATGGTTCATATGGAATAGAGACTGCTTTTTATATGATCAAATATATATGGATCGATGGAGACATATTCACTTTGCTCAGGAAACTAATGATTAGTTCTGTACGATGATAACTAGTCGAGTTATAAATCAACCACTGCATGGTCCAAATTTTTGCGACTGAATTAAGATCACTGATTCTATATGTATACTTATATGTATATATTCACTATTTCAAAACATGAAATCATCGTTGATGACTATAAAGTCAGGCAATAAAACTTTCCTGCTTTCTTTGTCATACAGAACTAATGATTCTATTGTTTTCTAACCTGTTCCGGCGATCGTTATACCAAAAGAAGTACCATTTGACCATAATTGAATTCTGTGATTCATAGTGTCTGCCACATAAAGATTTGCGTTAGAATCAACGACTGTACCTTGAGGTCCTAGCAACAAGGCAGCTCCAGAACCACCAGTACAATTGACTTGACCAGCCACTATTTTACCATTGGTTGTACCATGAATCCATTTCTGGATTCTGTGGTTATACTGATCACTGACGTAGATTGTACCGTTCAAATCAACAGTTACACCGGAGGGCTGGTTGAGTCTCTGTGGATTGCAACCCGAAACGGCAGTTGTACCAGCTACAGTTATACCACTGGTGTTCCAATGGAATGAGGTTATAATAGCTATTAAAACATTATACAGAAAAGCAGCATTTAGTTGCTCCTAATAACTCTTGAGAAAGCATTTGGGCGCATAGTGAACTAAATACGTTAGCTCAATGTTAAGCATCATGTACTGAGAATCAAAGCATGTAATCTGAATGATTTGAAAGAAATCCACCATTAGAACCAATCTCAATGTCCTACAGACTGATGTAACTCAACACTTTTATGCATATATATACTAGTTCAAATAAGAATGTAACAAAGTTTTAATTAACAGAAATGTTCAAAAACAACAGATAGCCATATTGTAATTAAAACAAGTGGATTTGTCGCTAAAAGTCAATCAAGTTTCACACTTGTGTACTTTTAATCAAAATGTCTTTATTCGGCTCAAAATTACAAGATAAAAAACAATTTTTAAAATTTCATTATAAAGTTTTGATGAAAGAAAAAGAAAAGTCTATTTCCACTGTAATAACTCTTCATACATGAAATAGCCATAGCTATCACAGTTCATAATCAACGAATTCATGAAAAGCGGAATAGTTTATGCTTGGATAATCGATACTTTACCCGTACTGGGTTGAACTACGACAACTGATCGAACGCAAAATCGTGTAAAAAAATTTATAATGAAAAAACCAAAAATTTTTAAAATGAAAAGCCTTCTATTAAACAAATAAGCTAAACAGTTATATAACAAAGAATAGGCAGAAATTACTTAACAATCTGTATTTTATTAAAAAGAGACGCATTTTTCTCTGATATGTATACATAAACTTAAGTCTCATAAAAAACTCCAATCAAGTAAAAGATGTTTATTTCATTATGTGTCTGCATCTTATATTTCTATTAAAGACAATTGGGAAAATTTTTCATGGTTTATAAGATACTATTCTTTTCTTTTACACATGTAGAACTTTATTGTTCAAATATCAATTGTTTAAAACATTATTGTGTTAATATAATTGGTATCAATGTCATCTTTTCATAGAAAGAGTTCAAACGTGTTTTAAAAAAAAGCAGCTTTTGCTCTTTTCTTATAAAATTTTTTCAATAGTTTTAATCGCGACTAATTCCATCATGGCTAACTTTTGTATAGATCTGTTTCTTTGTTCTACCATATTTAGCTGTTGCTGAAATGTACTTGAAGTACAGGAAATTGAAGATTATCATTTAAAACAAAAGAGATTTGAAGAAACTGATTATTACACTACTTTTTTACCAAATGATAGATAATCGACTTATTGTTGATTTTCATCAAACTGTAATTGAATATCTGTCAATGTCTTTTGTTTTTCAGTACATCATTTGTTTCTTTTCTTATCTATTTATTTGGTTCAGACAATGAAGCAAATATAGGCATCTTTATTCGGTTCGACTCGGTTTCGATCTTTGAAAAGTATTTGATTGATGGAATAGGAACACTTTCAGAATACATTAGTTTAAAAGATGAAGAATCTCTATATTTCATCTGATATCTAATTTATCAAATTGAAGTACAGCAAAACGACTAAATCTAACGACATGATATAATGGATTCGAGAGGGTAAACTCCCATACATTGTTTTCCATTCCATTCGAAATTAGTCGAAGTTAAGTATATAGGTTTCCTTCAAAGTTAAAAATCATATCTACACGAGCTCTATCTCTCGGAAAATCTAACTCTGAATCACTAGGTAAGAATGAGTATGATTATTTAATTTATGGACTACCACAAAGTTAATAAATATATTAGGTCTTGTTGATTTTTTTCTAGGTATCAATGAAATTTTATCGTCTACTAGTATCTATTTCAACATTTTATAGTACTATTATTGTATATCATGTTACTAATCAATTTATTCTACCTGATATTTTAACTAAAAAATCATTCGATAATACTATTGTGATGGAGAATACTTCTTTATTTTCTTACTCGATAAACAATGTGTACCATTCCATTGCATTGTTTGATTTTGACGACACTGTTGTTCATAGCTTACTGTGGTATAACTATAAATATTCTCTTCTTGACAAATTGTTCCATTATAAACCTGTCCAGTTTGGCACGACCAAAGGCCATTATTTGTACAAGATAAATATCGGTTAATATCATGTGAAATATTACATGATTTTTGGTATAACGAGTAGAGTTCGGTGGTTTGCTGTACATAACCGACTCGTGAAGTTGATGATGTTGATGGAACAAATGTACCTTGATCAGCCCAGCTAGAAAATAGGCGACATACATGAGATGAAGCATCATAATCGAATGTTTGACATATTTTCTCCGTTGAACAGATCATTGCACATCGAGTAATTGAAGGAACATTTAATCGATTCGAATAAAGATCATTAATATTATCATTTTGAAATTCTATGCCGAATGGAGTTAATTGAAATCGAACTTTGTATTGTTGTTGGTGAGTAACCAAAATAAGTAATTTTAGAAAAGTAATTGTAATAATCAGCATATTTTATTCTCAAAGATCAATAGCAAGTGTGCACTTGTGACTGAAAACAAATTACCTATTATTTAAATGAAATGAAATGTTTCTTCTCTTCAGCAAGTAGAATAAATTTTGAGACAAAAAAAAAAAAGGAAAAATATTTCTTTTTTCATCTATACGCTGTATTCTGCTCTCATTCATTTCTTTCTGAAAGAAAGAGTGTGGGAGAATAAAACTTTTCAATACGGGTGCGCCTTTTTAAGTAACGACAATTAGCTAAGAATACAAATGTTTATGGAAAAAGCACTATGAGAACATAAGTGATTATGATTTTAGCGTCACATGCTTTCAAGTTTTCTTAAGGACAAACAAATAAAACAAAAAAAAATAACGCAATCACTGATAATGATTAACATTTACGTTACATATTTTTAGATGTTTCGTCAAGATGGTATCAATAATCGCTTTTGTCATTCCTATTTTACTATTAATTCTTCACTGTACTACCATTAGTTTTGAAAAATGTCCTTGTAAAAAAAAAATGTTCAAAAGCATTTGCATAGATTAAAAAATTTTATTAAGTCTTTATATTATTTAATTAAAAGACGATGGCGAATTTACGAAAAAAACAACGGCCCTATTTGAAAATTTCAAGACAGCTCCTAATTATTATATATCGTTTGAAAGATAATTATGTCCACTATCTATCTGTACAATAACTGTGGCTACGGTATAATTTTTCGACTGACTCGACTATACATATGGTGAATTGTATATGATGTATTATATATATATAATAACTCTCATAAGATACTGTATCAACATATCGACTGAAGAAACCACTATTATATATCATTCAATGTGTCATCAAATATAGAAACAGATATAATCAAATGGCAATGTAAAGTACTTGTTTCTTTATTATTTGGAAAAGTACTACTACCTTTTTTTATGCATACATAACTCTTACTATAAAAAACAAATTAATATCGAGCTTTCAAATGCTTGGGAAGTATCTTATATATTATTGCTGTATAAACACTATTAAAATAGGAAATGTAAATAAAACGTGTGGGAAGTTATAATATTATAAGAATATACTTTCACTTTTGTTTCAGAAAAGTTTATTTTTAATTTTCCTATTTTGACACTTATTAGATCAATCTGTGAAAGCAATTAATATTCAAGGTTATCAATGTTAAAATCATTTACTCTAACATTTCTAATGTAATTATCATATTCTTGAACAAGAAACATTCTTCTATATATAAAAACATCGATGCTCTTTTTATGATAAAAATAAATAAAATAATATAGAATGGAAAATATAATGACTATTATAGAGTAGAAATTGATGATTGGTCTAAGAAGTATATAGAAAAGTTATCTAGTAAATTTTGATTTACTGAAACCATAATTTATTTCTTAGATGTTTTTCAAGTAGAAGAATCTCATATTCACTATATATGTACTATGTAGATATCTAGAACTAATCTATGCTAGAATTTGATTTTTCTATTTATCATTGATTTAGACATGCAAGCAATGTAAAATTCAGGGAAGGGTGTGGGTGTTGGTATGGTTTAAGTGGAGAAGTAGACCCACGCCCACGCCCACACCCAGTTTTAATTTTTATATTTTATTCGGCATAAACGACGGAGCTGGATATGGTAATAAAATTAATTCTATATGAAATTGACACTCGTCGTCTTCATTATTTGAATAGATGTCGGTATTGCTTTTTATACATAGATAACTCTCAGTGTGTCCTAAAGCATTGCAAAGATATTAGAGTATGAAATGTCCAGGCAAAAACTTTTCATAAAACAACAACATATTGGGTATAGAAATACTATTTCGGTTTTATAAAAACATGTTATCCAAGAATATCAAATCCTCGTCTGAATACAGTTTGTAAGAGCATATAGAAAGTAATTAATACACAAAAAAAATGGTACCGGTATCTGTTCATATAAAAGAAGAAAAGTGTGCCAGTTTCAAATATGATCGATCTTACTAGCATATCCACTGGCATCCTGTATAAAATATTTTATTCAATGAATAAATCTAAAAAAAA